GGCCCAGAATTCCTATCGTCCTTGATTTGAAAGCAGCCCTCAACCCAGTCGGCCCTGTTAAACTCTAGCGGTGCCCCTTCTTGAAGGGTGTCCCGCAAATTTTATCTCCTTTTCGTGATCTTTGTATGCGAAAATCTAAAGCCGAGTTCGAGCTTAGGTTCTTTTCATTTGAGTTTACCTTGAAAAGCCTCACTCTTCATGGCTTCCGTTTTCGTTGAGAATTTGTGGTTTTTGAAATGTCCCTACCCCTGAGGGGGTGGTGGTGCAGTGATTTATCCGTGGTCACCGGCGTGTTTTGGGCTTTCTGGTCGGAGGTCCGAACCATGCTACCGCCGCACAACTTTGATGGTAGGCACTTTTGTTTTCAATACCACTCCTGACCTAGCGGGACCCTATGTGGTTCACCGCCCTGGAACTCCGGGGCTCAGGTTACCGGTTTCCATCACTGAACAACAGGTTTTCGCGTCATAAAAACGGATATCAGTGCCAAGTTGTCCAATTTATGGTACACAAATCACAGTTTACTACTGAGTGAAAGCTCAACCATGCTTCAAGCTTTTCTAGATGGTTTGAACGTTTTGTACCTTAAAAGTGTACAATGATATTACAAGAGTGTGGAGGTGTAGTTGTCAGCCCTACTGTGTCAAGAGGATCTAAAGAATATGTAGAAAAGTCGTCCCTCTTGAGCAGCTGAATTTCATTTGGTGGTGAACGAATCTTGGGTGGATTGTCAGCACGTATACACAAGGCTCAGTTAGTGTTTGCCAACTCGAAACACATTTAGCGCTGGTATAATATCCGGCTATCTGTGAAGGGTCGAATATATGCTGCGGTTGCCCGAAGGACACTGCCGCTTGATACAGAGATTTAGCGGTTACGGGAACTCCACTTTCAAACACGGTGCTGTCTTTCCCACGTTGCTGGAGTCTTGTGAGTCGGATACTTTGAGGTGAGGTGCACAGTTTTAGGCTACTACTGTCAGGTACCGGAGCAAGTACTTGACTTTATTGTTACACACGTTTTGTGTGGTGAACAACAGACTGGATAGACTCAATAGTCGCGAAGACCTGTTGTTCAGTGATGGAAACTCTCAATCCCAGCCTCAAGACGTAGCGAACCACAAAAGGCCCCGCAAAGTTAGGTGCAGAATGGAATCGGACGACTGACTTCGATGGCTAGTGCATGTAGTATGCATGCCTCTGGCCTGCGATGTTTATCGAGACAGGAAAGATGTCTAGAGTGGTCACACTGTTTTTCATATCTTCATTTTGATCGTGCGCTTCACTTGAAACTCACGGATTGACTTATTCCTCATTAGTTGCCCTAGTTGGTGGCCGGCCGACAACAATGAAGACAGTCGCCCGATAGTGCAAGCGGAATACGTTTTATACGGGTTGCATTTTACTCTTATTGATTTAGTTGCACCAAGTAAGCGTAATCGAGGCGTTTACAGGTGGCCCATGTTCAGAGATTTTGGAAATTATACGAATTGGTGTTAGAGTTTGTTATGTTCTGCCTAGACGTAGGATCAATACGACCGCCTCTTGCCCAATCACCAGCTATAATACGGAAGAGAGAACACAACTGGAGAACAACAGTCGGAATGTGTTTATCGTGACGCGATAAGCAAGTATAAGTGGATAAATTGGTCGTACGAGAACGACGTGGTGAGGCATCAATCAGATCGCGTCCTTGACACTCCGATTGGTCGATCGGACGACAGCTGTCTGATTCGTCCAATCCAATCCGGAATCAACTCGCTTTGGGCGTCACGAGCGTGTTTTTGGTTTGACGTGGATCCATGTGCGGCTTGACGGGTACTACAAGCACCGTCCTAACAGAATTAAAGCGTAGTGTTGTAGAAGTTCTCACTGCGTTACAAAATCAATGTAATTTAGTACCGTAATGTGTGGTTCTTTCACTTCGGTTATTCATGCATGCTGCTTCCTCAGAACTTTGCTTTCGAACGTTCCATATGTAGGGAAGAGACCAGTTGTAGATTTCAGGTTTGTGAACGCAATCTTCAGGATTGCTCGGAAGGCTAGCGCAAGGTGCTCCTTATTGATTCAGTGAGTCCTTCAGGGATAATCGCCTGTTCCCAATCCTAACTTTAATCCTGTTGGTTGCTTGTATCACAAAATAATCCCTCATGTTCTCGGAAAAGATATCAAGCGCAGATTCTGTCTGCAGTAGGTTTCTCTTTAGTTGATCAATTCTGGATTGGATGGATTCGAAATGACATGCAAAGTCTTCTTCAATTTTACAGAATCGAACTTTACAGACGCACTAAACACGGTGTTTTTCAAGGTGAACTAAATTAAAAGATGATCTGCTGAATGAAATAAAACATACGGATTGGTGATGGATAAAATAATTATCCGAGGTTATCCTTCCGGCGTGTGTTATCTTTTCATGCTCTTTTTAATGTTCTCATATATACATGTAACAGTGCTTTTCTTTACCTCTTCACAGCAATGTGTTTCATGTGGCTGTATTGTGAAAAGACGGTTTGACGTGGCCGAGAACACGGGTCGTGGTCATCACCTGACCGGACGCATTTGCCCCGATTGTCGCTTGCACAGACCTGCCGAGTGTTATTTGGTCAATCTGAATCTGTGCTCAGCGGTGGAAAAAGTCATTCATGGCAAGGGACATATTCGAAGCCCTCGGAAAGCGTTTATGTTGGCACAGAAAAGTGCCGCACTGAAATTGCTTCGTTCCCGTCGGAAAAGTGAACCGGATCTGACCCAATCGGATAACAATAACCAGTTCCCGAACGGTGCACCACTGTTACGTGATGTGGTGGTCCACTTCTATGAGCGACAACCGGAGATGGGTTTGGCTGAGATATACAGAGTCGCGGCTGCTATTCAAGCAGTGCATGGGCGAAAACCGCTCCAGGACTCAATCCGATTTTGTCTGGCTCAAGAAAATAACGCTGCCTACGCGAGCACGAACCCGGATGCCTTCAGTGCACGAAACATGGCTCTGATACATAGCCCCTGGTTCAAACGCATGTTGCCCGCATTTCGGAACAATCCGTCGATTTCATTGACCAACGAATCGGACAGTCCTGGCACTCCCGAGACTGATTCCTCGGCAACTCTGATCATTGTGCTCGGCTCATCCTTGCAAGTGTTACGTAACTATGCATTTTTGTGGCCTCAAGGCCTAGGAAGATGTTTGAATGAGACGAAACCTCGGCGCTCGACTGGTCGTAAAGGCAAACAATCGACTGGGGATCAAACAGAGTCGGGTAGAGATGATTTGAATTCCATCCTATCGTCTTCGCCCACTCCATGCACCGACTCACCATCAAAAACCGAACGATGCTCGCTGGCCATTGTTAATTTGCAGTCCACGTGTAAAGATGGTGTGGCGGACATTGTGATACATGCACCGTGCGATGCAGTGCTACAAGTTGTGATGTCGGAGTGTTTGAATCTTTCCGTTCCTGCCTATGATCCACTTCGTGATGATCCGTTATACAGTGAAGCCACATTGCTCAATCCGGACGAGGAGCATACACGGACGAGGCCAGACATTCCTTTCGAGTGTTTCGTCCCGGTAGACCATCCAACCTGATCTGGCTCTGTTTTTCTATTCGCCTGCATACGTGTATCCATGNGTGTGTACTGTTGTCGATCTATCCGTTCTTCCCGTTCAAAACTAGTGCCAATTCCCCACCGTCATTTTGTGATCGTTTTTCTCGCAGCTTGAATGTGATGACTGTCACACACGCATACATACATACGCACATACGTACGCACTTTGGTACTCACTCAGACCGGCATTTATTGTTTATTTGCTATGATTTCCCTATCTTCTTCAAGCGATCGATCGCATTCTTCCACGTCGAATTTGGAATCATTTTTTTCTCTCCCCGTTCTCCTATCTATCTACGTAAATTTCCCCAATAAGGTGTGTAAATTTTTATAGCATTGTATGGGAACCGCGTCACATGCCTCGCATCGACGCAGCTTACGTTCATTTATATGTTTGCTTGTCTCTCGATAAAATGTCTTCTTTTACTGTCCGTTCGATTTTTATTTCTTTCGGAAATTGGCCCAAAAGAATGAATCGGTCTGCTGTTGAATGCAACTCATCTCTCGCTATATGTGAATGCGTCCGAGATGGGTAAGGGAAACCTAAAGGTGTAAAGAAAACCCTTGGGTAGGTCTGAATTAACTTCTTTATGGTCACGGAGTTACTTCGAGTTGACCAAAACGTATCCTAGTCAAGGGGAAGAGTCTTAGTCGTACCTATTTCGGTCAACTTAGAGTGCGACAAGCCTTTGTTACTCAGACCCGTTGGAGCACGGAAGTATTTTTCAACCCCCGTGACCCGGCTGGCACCTCCGAGTATCAAACCCTTAACTCCTTTTTGCCGAGGGTGGTCCTCGGGTTTCAATAGGGAAGTCAGAAACACGGGGTTTTGCACAATATATCTCCGGTCATTTTGCTGCATCTGAAGACGTGCACACACTGCATTCAAAGTGATTTTTATAGTCAGTGAGATAATTACCGCGAGATGAAGACAAAATCGTTAATCACAACGGACAACACACACTAACACAAAGCTTTGCCTTGGTAATTATCCCCCTATCCTCTCCCATTCTTTGTGTTACTGTGTCTTGTTGTCCGTTGCGGTTAGCGATCCCGTCTTGATCTCACGGTAACTATTTCACTGACTATAAAATCACTTTGACTGCAGTATGTGCATGTTTACAGAGATGCAGCGAAATGACCATGGAGATATATTGTGTAAACCCCAAGTGTTTCTGACTTATCTGTTCACATTTATGACGGGGAAACAGTGTTTTCAGGTTCTCGGGTTCACATTGGAATATTTAGATGAGGGCGACGCACCGGGATCCGTCAGCAATGAAACGAACCACCCGAACCGTTCACCTCCGATGGTGTTTTCTTTTGCCCAGTATCGAGAAACCACACTGATATGCCCTCTAGTTGATGGTTGTGATGAATTTATTCTTCTCCTTATTGTTGTTCGAAACGAATGAGGGAATCGACTAAGCATCGCTTTCGAATGATATTTTTATACCACGAATGGGGTTTACAATATGTTGGAGAAAGGCAGAGAGAGGGAGTACTTATCCCTCATACTGACTGCGCAAATGAACTGCCCTCATAAATGCATAAAAATACGTACTCCTAATGTGGATATCTTTTACGAACGATTGCATAACCGGATGGTATAATCAATAGACAAGTAGTATCGAGGATCTATCTGTCTATTGACAGGTAGTCTCGAGGGGGGAGTGTCTAGGGTTGCGGCTGATTACCCTCCCCTTGCACCTCACGAAATGCTCCCATACGACCAAGCGTCTCAAATAACCTGTGCTGAGGAAGCCCCACTCACTGCCTTCTCGAAGCGGAGGTGTTTCCCCACCAAAGTGAGTGGAAGAAAAGCCGATATCCGGGGCTATAACTGGGTTGGTGGACTACTGGTAGTANNNGAGAGGTGTGCACACACCTTCCGGTTATGGCAGTGGTCACCGACTCAATTAGGCATCAAAGTGTATTGGGCACTCTGGACGTTTGATCCCGTCCAAAGAGCGAATGATCTCATGAACTGGACACCGGCCCCCAGTGGATTGCGGTCTTCGCACACCGCCCCACTGCCTTGCGAGTCAGTCTTTGGCTAATCAAATGCTCCGGTTGTGGATTCCTCAAGACAATTCACCTGCCTTGGCCTGGACAACCTGGCAGTATTCCGACCATATGCAAATCATGGAATATCTTTCTTTTTCATAAAGATTATTGTACCGTGACTTGTTTGACACGGTCTGGATTCAGCCGTGTGTGAGAATATACGTATATGTAGTATCCAGGATATATTATTTGACATGAGTGTGCAGTCCGTGGGGTCACGTTTTATCTCCTTCATTAAATCGATTTCTGCTGCGCAGATTTCCGGCGGCGTGAAAAATAATTGGTGTGGAAGTACATTTCTCCACGTTATAAGCAGGCGTTTCTTGTTACTTAGTGAGAATAAGTACTCATGAAATCTTGAGTAGATTTACAAAAATGCTTTCACATGCTACTTCCTATTATGGGCACCAATCCGTTGCATGTTCTTGGTTATTTTTCGAAAACCACCGTTTGTTATTTTGAGCAACGAATAAAATATCGAGAGAAATAGGCAAATCTGTTGACAAAGAATTAAAAATGGGTTCTCGTAGCTCAGGTGAACTGTTCGCCGAACCACTTCACTTCCACTCGGCTGATGATGAAACGTTTGCAAACAAATTGCCAAGCTCGGCGAGGGGGTGTAAAGGAATAGGCAATTCTCGTCTGTGTCCCCAAGCTGTCAGGGTGCCTAGTACACTGGCGAGCCGGGTGGTTTGACGTCTGATTTCTTCGGTCTGTTTGCCGATTGTGGCTCGTAGAAATGCGGTGTTGGATGCTGCTTTTCACATTCTGAATGAACGCCCTCTTGTCGAGATTATGCAGTGAGTAAAACTGTCTCGACAGGTGATGTGGGCCACACTATGAGAATAGTGTATGAAGCGGGTGTGTGTGAGAGGGGCGGAATTATAGCGAAGGCTTAATCGCCCTCGAAGAAGTTGAGTCCCTCAAACAAACTGATAACCAAGTCACTCGATTGTACTGATCCAATTTATGATACCATCACATTTTTTAAAACAACTGGACTTGCCACCAATAAATTTCAAATTCTAACATATATAATAGTTTTGAATAAATGTAATTGTACATTCGAAAGTATTCATGTTCCAGAAGGGCGAATAGAGCGTACTGTGCAAAAGACCAACGATCACTGTATTCTTGGACGTCCGCGCGGCCTTTGTCTACAGGACCGCACTATGGAACTGTTTGTTGAGGAATGGAGTACCAGAGAAGTTTGTGTCGATCCTCAAAGAGTTGTATCGTTATACTTCAGGTCGAGTTAGGGGCCTGTGGCCAACTTTCACCACCCTTCGCCGTCTCCAGTGCAGTTCGACAAGGCTGCCCTATATCCCTATTCCTTTTCAACTTCATCATAGAGGATGTTATACAGAATTCTTTGTTCGGTCTAGCAAACGGAGGAGTCGAACGTCTCCCAGGGAACAGAGTCCTTGACTTGGCATATGCCGATGTCATCGCCTTGCTGGGTAACAATACACGCGCGTGCCAAAGTGCTTTGAACCGCCTGGCGATCGAGGTATCCAGATATGGTATGTGATGTGCACCTTCCAAGTGCAAAGTGCTTGTTCAAGACTGGCAGGAGCTTGTGCCTGCATCCACTCTTTGTGGTGATCAG